AGGGCTTTCTTGGAGCCGTCATGCGTCCCCAGAAATCCATCGGACGCGAACGAACGAGAAGCCAAAACACATGTATCCCTTTAGGTTTTCGAAGGATTTTGGCCTCTTGGGAGGTGCCTTGGGGGGCGGGAGTGGTACTTGGAACCCTCCTCGGGCTGCCTCGGAGCGTCTTGGAGGGCTGCCGGAGGCTATCTTGAGTGATGTTGTGGAAGGGGAAGGGCGGGTTGTGGCAGGGAGCTCCGTTAGTTCACTCAGACCAAAGGGCTGGTGGGATTTTGACGACACCCGATTTGTCCCCATCCCTTGTTTCCGCTTTTCGTCGCTTCGGTCTTGCTGTTTTCTTGCCCGCACAGTCACATTCTTCCGTGACCCCCCAGTGTTGGCGGGGGGCAGCCGGTTCACCGGTTTGTGGGGTAGACCTGCCCGCAGCATCGATGGGAATGGGGGAAGGGATGGATGGGGACCGAAGACGGCCCCCACCACTTCGGAACGTTCACGAACTACTTGGGGCTTCTTGCAATCACGCAGATCCCAACCCAGAAAAAGCATTTGGGAAGGCTCCCCGAACCCTTGGGATGCCTCGTAGGAGCCTCTGGGAAGCCTCTGGGCTGCCTCTGAGAAGCCTCGTAGAAGTTTCTGGGAAGCCTCGTGAGAAAGCCTTTGGGATGCTCATGGGGAGCTTCAGGGGAGCTGCTGGGCAACCTCTGGAAAGCATCTTTGGGCAGCCCTGGTAAGCCCCTGGCAAGCTTCTTGAGCGCCTCTAGGAAGCCTCTGGAAAGCTTGCTGAAAACTGTCCTGGGAAGCTTGTGGAAAGCCTTGCCAGGAAGCTTCTGGAGCGCTTTCTTGGGAAGCTCACGGTAAGCCTTCCCGAGAATCTCTTGGTCGGAGGTCTGGGGGGAAACCGAAGTGGAACGGGGAGCCCCCCACCAGGAATTCGGTTTCATTTTCGGGTTCCTGTCGTGTCTGCGGGCGAGAGGAATGGCTCCGCTGTGGCCATGGCGGGTCGAGATTCGTTGGTCGCCGCTCCTCCCTCCTCGGTGGGCGGGCGGTGGCCGGGTTGTCCCGCTGTGGTGTCCAGTCGCTGCCTTCCTCTCCAGCGGCGCGGTGGGCGGGCGGTGGACGGGTTGTCCCGCCGTGGTGTCCAGTCGGTGTCCCGTTGGTGTTCCGTGGCTGTCCCGTCTCTGTCCCGTCGGTGTCCCGTCGGTGTCCCGTCGGTGTCCCGTTGGTGTCCCGTCGGTGTCCTGTCGGTGTCCCCTCGGTGTCCCATGGCGAGATCGGTAGTGAGATCGATCGTGGGGCCGATCGTGAGAACGAAAGTGAGATCGAGCGAGTGAGATCTATGGTGAGATCGATAGTGAGATCGAAAGTGAGCTCGATCGGTGCCCCGATGGTGTCCCGATGGTGTCTCGTGGTATCCCGTCGGTGTCCCGTCGGTGTCCCACGGCTGTCCCGTTGGTGCCCCGTCGGTGTCCTGCGGTGTCCCGTGGTGACACCGATGGTGAGATCGATAGAGAGACCGACAGTGAGATCGATAGTGAAATCGATAGTGAGACCGGTGGTTCGATCGATCGAGTGAGATCGATAGTGAGATCGAGCGAGTGAGATCGATAGGGAGATCGAAAGTGAGATCAATTGGTGTCCCTATGGTGTGCCGATGGTGTCCCGTGGTGTTCCAGTCGGTGTCCCGTCGGTGTCCCGCGGGTGTCCCAGCGGTGTCCCTTCGGTGTCCCGTCGGTGTCCCTTCGGAGTCCCGTCGGAGTCCCATCGGTGTCCCGTGGTATCCCGCGGGTGTCCTGTGGAGTCCTGTTGGTGTCCCGAGCTCACATCGCGACGTCGCATCGTCGTCACATTGCTATCGCAGCGCAGTGGTGGTGGCTTCTATTTGACCGCTTTGCTCATTCCGCCGGCCTATTTTGCATCACTGTGGCTGCGTGGTGGTGTGCTCGTGCCCGGGGAGAACGGTAAGGCAGACCGGACCGTGCGCCAAGATGGCTCAAGAGAGCTCCAACAGGGTTTCGACACGCACCTGGGTTGTGGGTCGCAGTCCTCATGTGTGCTTCTTGAATCTTTTCGGAGGGAGCGAGGCCTCTGAGGAGCCTCTTGGAGGCTTATTGGAGGCCTCTTGGGGCTTCTTGGGGGCCTGTTGGGAGTCTTGGGGGCCTCTTTTGGGGCCCCATTGGGGGCCTCTTGTAGCCTCTGGGGGGGCTCTTGGGGGCCTCGGGGGGCTTCCTGGACGCCTCTTGGGGCCGAGAGCTCGACATGTATGTTCGGGTTCCCCCTCTGGGCTCGCTCTTTGGGCCATCCTGGTGCCGTCTTGGAGGCCTCTTGGCAGTCTGAGGGCCATCTTAGGCCATTTGGGGGCCCCCTTGGAGGCTTTGTGGGCCGTCTTAGAACTATCTTGGGGTCTCTTGGGCCGTCCAGGGCGGTCGGTAGCTCGAGAAGGCGGTTCCGCCAGAATCATCGGAAAACGCTCGCACAATCAATGATTTTGCGTCTTCGG